TGTTGAAATGAGATATTTCTTGCATTGAAATGGATTTTCAAGGAGAAGGGGGTTTTTGTCAAAAAATGTGAATGTTTGAGATTGTAAAGAGAAATGGAATTGATATAGAAATTGTGAAATTGAAATGGTGATAATGAAGATGGTGGAGTTGGATATGTATTATCACTTCCATCTTGAAATTTTGAAAAAGTGTATCTTTAATGTAATTTATTTATTTGTTTAGAGATATCTGTTTTGGGTTATCAGTGGAGGATAGCTATGGGTGTTGTAGAAATTGTATGAGGATTAGGTGAATTAAAACTAATTTCTCATCCATGTGCATTGAACATTGTTACTCATGTAATACATTTAAAATGTATATAATTTTGAGAAAAAGGGGTGAACGTGGTAAAGAGGTGTGTATCACCAAATTAAGTTGGCGTGTGTGTCCAGGGTGAAAGTCACGTAAAATGTGCATATACATGGGTGCTGATTCTCGCGGACGAAATATCCGTAAAATGACAATAGTAGTGCTTGTATAGGCTACGTTTACATGGGTGCCGTTTGACGGTTTCCTGCAGACGAAATATCTTGAAAAGTTGTATTGGTTTGAGATTTCCTTCTTCTTTCTATTGTAAAGGGTACGGTTTTGAGAATTGTGATATAAACCTGGCATAGCACAACTTTTAAAAAAGGATATAAATGTTTTAGTATTGACATTGCATATGTATAAAACCTTATGGTTTTGTTAAGATTCATACATTGTTTTGTAGTGTTTTTATTGGGCTTTGGCTCACCCTTATGGAAAAATCATTTTTAGGTGTTGGTGAGATGCCTTCGCCAAGGCAGTAGCTTGGGAGGATTGGAGCAAGAACTTCATTTTGTTTTCTTGTTGTAATTATTTTGTACAAGCTTAGGGCTTTATCTGTATTGGATTTAAATTCATTTTGATGTAACCAAGTATAGTCTTGGAAAGTTGTAGCCTTCAGGGCATTTCAATTATCTGTTTAACTTCTATTTCATATCTTTGTTGTTGACACATGCTATAGATTTAGAGTTAGGACTTATGAATGTATATTCGCATGTGTAACCCTTTTTTTTACAACTTCGTCTTATGTAATGGAAAAATATTATACTCTGATTTATATTGTTATTTACTTATCGTCGTAGATGGTTTATTGAATTTATTTCGGGGCATTACGACTTGGTATCAGAGTGTACCGGGTTTGAATACTTTGGGTACGTGGGAAGTGGTTATTACCAAAATGGGTTTGTCTCGCTTAATAGAGACTTTCGTAAGTTTTGTGTACTATGTGACAACATGCTTATGTGATTACATGAGTATGGCATTTAATTTCTAAGATATTGATTCGGTCTACGAGTTTCTAGAAGTCCTATTAGAAGAGTACCTAATCACTGTTGTTTCTAATTGGAACTCTGGCAACGCCGTAGGACGATCATTATCTAGAAATGAAATTTGTAAGTGTTTATGTGATTATATTTTTACGTGGAGTGAATTAATGGTTATCCACCATATTAGGACGTGAGTAAATTAGTTTCGGCACATTTGTAAATGTGACTTTCATTAGGATATTAGGACGTGGACGTGGTGGTGGTAGGCGTGGTAGGCCTAGAAGGCACGAGGTGCCTTTATCGGTTGAGATTCCGATGCAAGAGGAAGGGGTTGGTGAAACCAATGTGGCTGAACCAGTTAGTTAGCAGGCCATGGACGCTTTAGCTTGTGAAATGGCTGGATCATTGCTGGACTCCATGGACATTCTCAGAGTTGAGAATCAAGTCCAGGCCCATGTTGCTGAGACAAGGCCATCTTTTCTAAAGTGAGAGTTTTTCCGGTCGAATCTGGATGAGTTTGTGGGTGACCCTAAAGAGCCACTGAAAGCGGATGAATGACTCGAGCAAATGATGAAGACGTTCGAGATGCTCGGCATCGAGGACGACTAGTTGAGAGTGACCTTGGCATCCTTCTAGCTGAAAGGAGATGCATGTCAGTGGTAGAAGTATACGCGTGGGCGTATTAGGGTGACTTGAGAGGCCTTTGTCAACGCATTCCAGGAGAAGTTCTTGTCTCCCACGGTTAAGGATAAGTTGAGGGAGCAGTTCTGTAATGACCCCAAAATGCAAATCATGATTATATTAATTTAATTATGTGTTTAAATTTAATTTGTGAACAAATGTGTATGGATATGAAAATTGAAAGCCTTATCGGCATCCAAAATCAGAATTGGTTATATGAACAAATTATTTGGAATTTTTAGAACACTACGATAAGTTTAATTGAAATTGATTCAGTTTACTGAAATTGTCTGTGATCAGATTGAGCCTTAATTGGAACTATTCTGAGTATATTGAGTTTTATGATAACTATGATTAATTGTAATTGCCCAAGATGTTGCATGATTAGTATCTAATTAAGCTCTATTCATGATTTATAATTTGATTACGTGTAGTAAGTGTTTAGGCATTTTGTGTGATGGTGAGTGTAGGAGAATAAATTTTGGTGGGTGTACTAAGATCTGGGTGTTTGTGTGTCGAGAAATTAGTGTGGGTGTATGTATGTGACTACATGTGTTGTGTAATTCAAATGTGAGGGTGTGTGTATAATCTGATGCTTAGAAGGAATGTTTTTATTCCTTTGGTTTATTGTATTGAAAGAGAGAGAAAGAGAGAGAGAGAGAGAGAGAGAGAGAGAGAGACAGAGAGCTCAAGATTTTGAAGAGGAAGAAGAAGAGAGCTACGACGATACTATCCTATAATCTGAAATCAAGCTCTAGGTAAGTGTTTATTTATGAATTAGACTCATCTCATCTTTGGATTTAAGGAAATTATGGAGTTAATGTAAGAAAGAGCTCATTGATGATGAATATGAAAGATTAGCTCACATGCATGAACATTTATGTATAGAATCACCATTTTGAGCATGAATGTGTAAGAATTTCAGAGTTATTTGTCTCATGCATCCATGATTTTAGGAGCCATGAAGTCTAATCTCATGTTTTGAAAGCCATGGTTAAGAGTTTGAAATAAATCTTACATGTATGGCATGAATTCATAATATTCTTATTATATCATATAAATTCTTGCATGAACTTCATGGATTCTAAAGTTTTCAAAAGGATTTCTTGAGCTATGAGATTGAAGTTTCAAAATACATCATTTCTTGCGTGGTTTTACAAGAAATCTTCAAAGTGTTGGACTTAGAACTCATATATGTATGGTTTCATGATTTTATGCTTTGAATTAAAAAGTTTGATCCTTGCATGACATAGATTTCAAGAAATCCATGATCATACATTTGTTTTCTTACATGAGTGCCCAAAATTGAGAGGAAATGCCGTGGGTCTTGAAGATTTGAAGCTCAAATATACAAGCTTTATGAACTTTCATAACAATACAAAACTTGAAGCTTTTGCATGGAAAATGTAGTTTTAATTTGAAGTTATAATTTTGTTTAAAGTCAAATATGTAAGTTCAATATGTGTATGAAAGGTTTTGGGTCTTGAATTGCATGAAATGGAGTTGCAATTGAAAAATGAAGACTTTAATAATGAGGCAGATTTTTGAACCAAATAGACCCAGAATTGCACGTGCGGCCTGGGGTCCCATACGTGCGGAAAACAGGGCAGTTTTGAAATGTATTCTGAAATAAGTGCACCTGCGGGAGCAGGTGCGGGGATGGTCCCGCACGTGCGACCAACACCTTCGCACGTGCGGCCCCTTTGAGTAGTCCTAGTTTCGTTTTTCGCTCCACTTGTCCGCCTTCCGGACCTCCGCTTGCATCATCTTAAAATGTTTTTCATGTGCATTGCATTCATGTACATTTGATAGACACGAATCAAAATAAAGAATAGAATAATAACCGAACAAGAGAAAACGAATAGAAATCAAACTATCGAATTGAGTAGTATTGTAAGAATGCGATTGTAATTGTATTATGCTTGAATTTGTTTGTTTAGGTTGGACACTGTATCTTTAGTGCATTTTAGCATGTGTTTTAGGAAGCCCACTATGAGTAACAATGTTGTAAAGATATGTTCAAATTGTATTTATTTTATGAATGATAAATTATATTGTTTCTGAACGGTTACTTTTTATTGATTGAATGATGATCCTCTTTTCAATTGTATTTGTGGCATCCATAGCATATTGTTATTGATATTGCTATAGTTACAAATATCTCTGTCAATTCCAATTCTTGGAACTATTGTCTATTGTTTGATGGCCATCAATTGATTGTTCGATCTTTATAAGACCTATTGTATTGTTGCTATTGGATGTACCACATTTGACCTATATGAATATGATTGATTGAATTGAATGATTGAACGATTGATTGACAAATGATATTGATTGAAAATCTTCTAATGATAATCAATTGTTTCATCGTTCTTAACCTCTTTACACATCTGTTATTTAAAGAAGAACTTGATTCTTTATTCAATGAATTCTTTAACAAATATTTACACTGTATTTATAAAGACAAAAATCTAACTAACTAACTGACTGACTAACTATACTTACACTTTAACTAGAGTTCTAACAACTCATCTAACTGTCTAACTAGCCTTAGTAGAGGAAGCCACGTACTGTAGCTTGAGCTGTGAGGAAGCTGTGGTGTCTTGTGACTTGAGCTGTGATGATTGAGCTTGATTATTCCCAGTAGTCTTAACATCCTCTGTCAAGCTGATAGGGGAAGAATGAGCCAGAAGCTGGTTTTGAGGAAATTGAAATTGAGAGATAGAAAGTGGTTTAGTAAGAATATCTGCAAGCTGATCAGAAGTGGGAATGTGTTTGACAATCAATTGGTTGGAAACCACACGCTTGCGAACATAATGATAATCGACTTCAATATGTTTCGAACGAGCATGAAATATCGGATTACTCGACAAAGCAATAGCAGATAAATTGTCACACCATAAGGTAGGTGGAACAAAGGGAACATGCAGGTCTTTGAGAAGCATACCAAGCCAGCTAAGTTCAGTAGAAGTTTGAGCAAGAGCTCTTTATTTAGTCTCAGTGGAAGATCGAGAAACCGTGGGTTGCTTCTTGGAAGACCAAGAAATCCAGTTGGGACCAAGAAAAACACAAAACCCAGTAGTAGATCTGCGATCCAGAGCATTGCCAGCCCAATCTGAATCAGAGAAGGCATTGAGAGTGAGAGGACCTCGTTGAAACTGGAGACCACAATCAAGAGTTCCTTTGAGAAACCTCAGCAACCTTTTGACAGCATTAAAATGGCTAATCAAAGGACAATGCATGTGTTGACAAGCAGAGTTCACAGCAAAAGCAAGATCTGGGCGTGTGATTGTCAAATATTGAAGTGCACCAACAAGACTTCGATACAAAGCAGGTTGATCAAAGGGAAGATCTGCTGTGGGCAGAATGGGTGACTTGGTAGGCATTGGAGAAGCAGTAGCCTTACAATTTGTCATACCAGCTTTGTGACCCCCCGATTCTACACTATTGGTTGTAGTCAAGGAAGAATCACGAATGAGTCCTGTGGTCAATAACCAAGTAAGATCCCAGTTCGCCGGAAGAGTCAAATCAGCCTCCCTTCTAAGACTGGCTTTCTTAGGCAGCGCACTACCCTTTTGACAGATCTTAAAAGGCATTGACACAAGGTCTCATAAGCAACGATAAGGATCATACATATACGTAGAATATAAATACATAACAACCACGAACATCCTTAATTCAAAAACTTGTGCCGTTACATTACATTCCAAGAAGATTTAAATCTTCACACGAGTCTTACAAAACAACAAAAGGAAATTTCTAACTTTACTAAGATAGCCAAAAGTCTTCGAAGGTTTCAGGCTCATCGTCTCCAGCTAAAAGTTCCTCTTCATCACCTGACATGATACGCCGTGGGCTTTGAATGCCCAGTAAACACACACACACCCCGTCCTTTTTTTCTAGTCCAATACACAATCTCAAATATAACAACAAGTAGTAAAGCATGATACTCAAAATAGATAAACAAAGGGTTACAAGTTAGATGTTAGTAAACTAGAAATCCCCCAAAGAGAATTCGTCCTTCCAACCACAAGAATCGGACGCGGATTATTCGGTATGCCCCCTCTTTCGCTGCTTTGTTGCAGAACTAACCTCAGATGCCTACCAACGGTTATATACCGCGTAGCGCCAACCACAGGGCCTCAAAAGAGATGGTAATAATGGGCCTTGCCCAAATCCCTCCTCACACCAAACCACCTAGGGTCCGAATACAACCGCTTCGTTCAAGGGTTTCGAAAACCACTTGCGAAAGACTTTAACTTCCAAGTAGGGAATGCATCCCAACAATCCACACATCACACATTATCATCATTACTCAAGTGATTGAAAACCCAATATCATCCCAATTAAGTTTCCCGTTAAGTTAAATGTTTTAAAACAAGGTTAGACCAACTTAACAAGATAATAATATCCACAAAAGCATGCATCATTGAAATGAAGAAGATAAAGAACATAACCATAACACATATAATATCATGCCAAGATATGATCATAAGCTAATAAGCATCATCATGAATACTAGAGCATAAAACATCCATGCACAACATAATTTCCAGATTCAATATCACATAAGGATTATAATGAAAAGGGCTATTCTAGAATTTTTACCGGACTCGGCCTCCCTATGGTTTGTGGAGAATTTAATCTAGTTTTCAGAACATATTTCGAAAATGGGATAGCTTTTCTAGATTTTAAGTTATTTAGAAAACACTCTAGCGCTGTTCAGATTCGTCGACAGTTACGAAAATTTGATTTTCTTGCAAACCTCTCACTGTTTTTCAATGAAACCAATTTTAGTTGAAAGCTAACTCCTTAAGGAAGATTTTGACATAAAATATAGGTCCAGAATAATTTTATGCATTTTTCTAGAAATTTTGAAAGTTGGCTATGAAAACAGATTTTAAGGCACAATACCAAAAACAAGAAGATTTGTGAGAAAAAGGATCCACTAAGGAAAATTTTTGTCTATAAGGAAAATTTTTGTCTATTTTATGATGAAAACATGCTAACTAATCAATGACACATCTGAAAACAATATTTAGAACCCTTAAGAACATGTATTTGAAAAAGGAAAATGAAAGAGAAGGTTGTGTTGTGGCTTACTTGCTAAGCTTTGAACAAAATGGCTCTCTTCTCCCTTCCTCTTCCTCTCAAGACTTCTCTCTTGTTCTCCTTCCCTTCCTCTAGCCGAAAGTGTGTGTGCGGGTGTGATGCTTGTGTTTGCCAAGCTAGGGAGTGGTGATATTTATAGACAAATTTGGTGTAAAATGACATAGAAGCCCACTAGTTGGAATTGAATGGACAAGCTAGGATTTACTTAGAGTTCAATGAATTAGGAGTGCTTAGGGAGCTTAACCTTGGGAAGTTCAATGAATATATTTATATAGATCTCAATTAATTGATGGTACTTATAGTATAAGGTACATGTACTAATTTTGGGAAAATTTTGAATTTAAATAAAGAAGTAATGACTTGAAGTTAAATTCATGTATTGAATGTAGAATTTAATTAAATTAGGCTAAAGAACCTAATCCAGCTAGGATATTCTGGTTTTGATAAAAAAATGCTAACCGACAAGATTCGAAATAATTCAAGTAACTAAGAGCTTTAAGAAAATAATTTAAACATTAGGGTTTTTAAAGAGAAAACATTTTTCAGGGGCGTCATAAGCTTTGGCCAAAATATCAGCGGCATACTTGGCTTGATGTAAAAAGAAACCATTGGCAGATGACTAAATGGAGATACCCTAGAAATAATGAAGAAGACTCAAGTCTTTTATAGAAAAAACCTTATGCATAGCAATCACCAAGGAATGAATGTAAGGTTGATCATTACCAGTGAGCAAAATGTCATCTACATAGATGATGAGAATAGTGATAGAAGAAGTAGTCTTTTTGACAAACAGAGAGGAATCACAATGGCTTGCAAGAAAACCTTGAGACAAGAGAAAAGTAGAAAAAAGTGGAAAACCATGCCTGAGGGGTCTGTTTAAGACCATATAGTGCTTTATGCAACTTACAGACTTTAATAGGATGAGAAGCTGCAATAAAACGTGGAGGTTGAGTCATATGTACTTCCTCATGAAGAACACCATGGAGAAAAGCATTAGAGACATCCATTTGTTTGATGGACCAACCAAAATGCAGAGCAAGACAGAGAAGAATGCGAATTGTAGGTTGTTTGGCAACAGGACTGAAGGTGTCTTGTTAGTCTAGGCCTTCTTCTTGTAGATAGCCTTTGGAAACTAGCCGGGCCTTGTATCTAGCAATAGAACCATCAGAGTTCTTTTTGAGTCTATATACCCACTTGCAACCAATGACATTTTTATGGGGAGGAAGATCAACCAGAGACCAGGTGTAGACACCCCATTTTTGACCGACCTTAAGACTCAGACGTCATCGATTGAGCGCTCGGTGATTGCGCATGTTGTGCTCGTTCTGAGGTTACGGAGTCTCGGCTGAGAGCCTTGCCTTCGGACTTCGGGACTCTTTTGTGCTTTGCCTCGGTTTGTGAATCAAGTTCTGTTTTCTTTTTCCGAAGGAAGGGAGAGGTCTCGTAGACCATCTCTCAGTGGCCGAAGGCTACTTTTCGTGGTCGTAGACCACTGTTCCCGTTTGGAGACCAGTTTCCGATTTTCGGAGCCGTCGGCCGTACGCCTCGGTTCGGGACCGCTTAACTTTCTCCGTTTGCTCCGGTTTTTTGCACACACCTTGTTTCCTCTCTCTAGAGGGACACTGTGGCCCGGGAGACCACCTTTGTGGTCGCACACCACTTTCGATGCTTAACGGTCTGTTTTCGGGGCACCCGGCTGCGCGTTTTGACCCCCGAACCCTCGTTTTGCATCCGTCTTGGTTCATTTTTGGCATGGACCTTGTTTTCATTGTTTGGAAGGTCGTACAAGGGTGGGAGACCACCTTTTCTCCTTGGAGACCACTTTTCCCCCGCCGGCCGGTTTTCTTGTCAGGTAACTGGCCTCCCTCTTTTTTGGGCCACAATTGCTGGTCTCCTACCACATCACTAACTTGCATTCAGTTGGGAGACCACCAATTGGGATGGACAACCACCATTCACTCACTTGAACCTTTTGAACTGGTCGGCCGACTAGGGAGAGTGGTCGGCCAACCACCTGAACTGGTCGGCCTGCCTCCATCAGTTCTGTCTCTATGAGTTGTTGCCAGTTGTGCCAGCTGGAAGGCACAGAATGGATCCTCCATACATGTGTATGGAGGATCTTCAAGCTTGTTTTTTAGCTTCTTTGAGAAGCTTTGGACCCCTTTGGCTATAAGAGAGACCCTCTCCCTCATTGGTAAAGGGTCTGAAATTCTCTAAGGCATATACATCTATCTCCCTCTATATCTCTCCCTTTAGGCTTAGAAAGTGTGAAGTTTTTGGCCCTTTGCACACCATCTCCTAGCCTAACCCCTCCAACACAAACCTAAGCTTCTTGGAGGCCTTTTTCAGAGGTTGAGGAGCTACATTTTTGGTCCAGAAGCTGCTGGAGTTGCTGAGCTACAAGGGTAACACACCTTCTCTCTTTTAAGGCTTTATTTTGCTTCATCTTTTGGCCATACTTGCAAGCATGTTTGAGTTTTGTCATCAACTAAAAAAAGTCTTATTTTGAGGTCCTTAATTTGTTTGTTTCAGATCATTTTTCTGTTGGGGGTCATCTATCCCCTTGCATGCTTCATTTTGCCTTATTTTGAGCCATGCATTAGGGCCTTTGCATTGACCTTTGTTTGGCCTTCTAGACACTAAAATCCAGTGGATTTTCAGTGGCTAGCATGCTGTTTTGAGTGCCAAAATGAGAGAGGGGTGACCCTCTCTCCCCTTGTTTTGTTTCCTAGCATATTTGGCCTAACAAAGGAGCCCTTATTTGCATGCTTCCGAGCCATGTTTCAGGCCATTTTTGGTGAGTTTTAGGACCTACATAGGCTCTGTCCAGAGCTTTTTTTTCCATATTGGGTGTCCATCTTGCATGTGTAGAATAACCCTCTTCATAGCCTATCAAAGGAGCATGTCATTGTTGCATGCGTTGACCATGTTTGAATAAGTTTTTGGGCTTTATTTGGCATGTCATACCTCTAACTTTTGCTGGTTTAGTGACCTCTTGAATGCTTCATATGCTTGTAGTGTAAACCCTCTTCACTAGCTTGTATTGCATACTATTTTGGTCTTTGATTCTAGCACTTTTTGGCCATGCCTTAAACTGATTTTATGCATGTTTTGGACTGCCTTAGCTTTGTTTTTATGCCTCATGGTCGAATGATGCTTGCTATGCATGGTTGTAGTGTAATATCCTTGCCTAGCCTTGAGTTTTGAAGCCTATTGCATGCTTATACTGAGGTGTTTTCATGTTTTGGGGCCATTGAGCATGTCATTTCAAAGCCTATACTTGTGCCATATTCCCATGTTTTCCATTCTTTAAACGTGCTTGAGAGTTGTGCATGAATACCTCATTTATGGACCATTGCATGAGCTTCATTTCTATGCATTTCGAGCCATCATTTTAGACTATTTTCCCACTGTGTTGGACCTACATAGGGACTGTTTAGGGCTGATTGGGTCATTTGAGCATTGCTTTGGGTACCTCTAGTGTAATGCACTTCACTAGTTTTGGTATCCGGGTCATCTAGCATGCATTGTGTGAGGTGTTTACATGATTCGGGACCATCTTGCATGTCATTTCAGAGCTAGAAAATGTGTGATTGTATGCCATATTTCATCCGTTGCCATGCTTTGGTAGAGTTGTATTTGGTGCCTTAGGTTTGGTCCCTTGCATTTGTGCATATTTGCATGTGTTTTTGTTGCCTAATTTCATCATGTTTGGCCACTGATTTGGGTGTGGCTAAGGCTCACCTATCTTGGTTTAAGTCCATCTTGCATTGTATATGCCATTTAGTCCATGTTGTTGCATGACTGACCATTGCATTGTGTTTGCCTTGATCATTTCATTGTTAGTCTCCATATGTGCATTGCGTATGCCATATAGTTTTCATGTGCATTGAAGTATGCCATTGATTATTTCATAGCATTGTGTATGCTAGTAGCATATTTGCATATCATCATTTGCATGTTTGCATCATTTAGTGGCATTATGTTTAGGCTGCATGTTAGAGTTGCATTCTTGCATGCCATGTGTATTGCATTGTGTTTGGAATAGGGTTTAGTCCAAACACGAGAAATGAGGGACGTTTCATACTCCAAGTGACGAAACGTGCCTTGATTCTAGGTTGCCAACACTCCGGATTACCCATGATGGAGTTCAGGCTTTGTTGTGTTTATATGTGCATTCATTTTACATCGAGTCGTGCAATTCGACTCCTCGACCATCATGCATTGAGATGCGTGATTGGTGGTACGAGGATCGAGGATTACACTCTCTAGAGCTTATGCAATGACGGGGAGAGTGGTCGTGCACACATATGTTGAAAATACTTTGCCATGCCCCTTTCTTGCTCTCTGTTGCCGCAAACCGGAAGCCAGCAGTAAAAACTGGTCGGTAGTATCCCTACAGCATGGTGGAGTTTCAGCCTTCTGGAGTTTTGTATAGTGTTCTGGGACTAGTTGCAAATAGAGGCAAATCGGGGCATCGCGATGGATTTTTCGGCAAGGCGACTCGAGCATGCATGCATTCCTTGTCATTCAAGACTGAGCTGAGGCAGTCCATTTCATATGTTTTGGTATGCTAGCTTATTTATTTTAGTTAATTTGTTAATTAATTAGGGTTGTGTAATAATTAGCTGTAATTCGTTATTCATTCGATTGTGTATTATTTATTCGGACCCTCCGAGAGAGGGCAATGTTGTAATAAGTGTGCGTGTGTGTGATGTATGTCTACCAACCCCACGTCTTTCTCCCTTTTATTTACCAGCTTATGATGGTTAGTTTTAGGGCACGTTTCAATTAGCATCCTTATGCTCGTATGTTTGCATCCATTCATCTGTTTTGCATGCACCGGGCTCGGCGCATCATACTAATTGCATTGTATTTCAATTCCAAGTTGAATACATGTTATCTGTTGCATTTCATATGCCATGTTTAGAATAGCCGAGCCTATCTTAGTTGCATTTTGCATGTGTTGCATTAGCCATCTTAACATGAACTAGGATCATGCATTGATTACTAACTAGTTTCTGTTTTGGCTTGGAGTACTCGATAAGTGTTTGTGCTTTAGCATCCTTGCATGCGTGTAAGTGACTGCCATGATAGCATGCTTACCATGAGGCTATTTGCTTATGTGATATAACTGCATGAATGCCTATGGGTGGAGGTTGGGTTATTTGAATTGGAACAATGCATTGAATGGGAGTTTTAAGCCCACTTGAGAGTGGCAAAATCATGTTTTCTAAGCTCACCCGAGGGTGACAAAATCCACGTCTTAGCCTACTTGCGAGTAGCACTTTCAAACCATTTTTCAAAACGAACAAGAGATGTTTTGTTCCAATTCAGGCGACCCAGTCTATACTTGTATGCCGTGCGCATCACATAGTAATTCTAGGCTAATAACCAGAATAAGAGCACATATGTTTTCAAAACTCGATATCATGCTTAGTAATGGCCGATCTTTGATCGGGCGAGCGGGGGTGCTCATAGCTGACCTTCCCCAATCGTACCTAAGTTCCCAAGCCGAGGCAACTTTGGTGATGACGGACACGTGGCCTTAGGCAATGAGTCATTATTTCCTAAATTCCCCCAAAAAATAAATATTTAGGTGGCAACTCTGTATCTGGAAAAGCAGTCTATGTTTGGCACTTCTTTCTAAAAATCAGTTTTTTTCAAAAACGATTTGCCAGATTTGGACTCTTTGATGATTCATCGGTCTTGCATTACACTTTGCGAGATTAGATACAGGACCGTGACATTGAGTCCGAACTGTAGTAAGCCCAATGAACAAAACGGGATTTCCTCCCGAGACGTTCGGGGACGTCTATATCAGGTCTGCTGGGATTGAAGAGCCTGAAATTCTTCGTTCATAGCTGTAGTCCAATCAGGAGAGTAAGCAGCTTCCTTATAGGATGTAGGCTCAGTAGGAATGAGAAAGATGAGCAAAATTAGGAAGAGAAGCAGATTTAGATCTTGTGAGCATGGAGTGAGAGTTCAATGAGGAAGATGGAGCAGA